AAGGCCCTATCGCACATCGTCGCTGAAATACAAAAAAATCATAACTAAGTAAAAATCCAAAATTCCCGCTTTGATTGATTACGATGTCGCCAAATTATTTTAAGCAATAACAAATTTTAGTCAGTTACGGCTTTTTTGCATTTCAGCGGCTATATGTGTTAGGCCTTTCTATATTAAGGTAAGGTATATTGACAAATGTTGTTATCAAATAAATGTGTACATACATACATACATACATATGTATATTGACGGTATATTAGTGTTAATAGAAGTGGAAAGTTTAGATACGAAATATTTACATACATAAATACATACATATGCATGTAGAAAATAATAGTAAATAGGCATTTATATACGTTTGTATATGTTTTTAATGGCTTAAATATATATACGTAGATAAAAATATATACATGTTCATATTATATAGATGTACCTATAGTTAGTTTGTATACAACACTAGCAAAAATACGGAACCAAAATAGCAAAAATTTAAATGCCAAAAAAATATTTTTAACAAAAATGCAAAAAAAATATATGGTACGTATGCATGTACTACATACATATATGAAAATTAAAACATGAAATTCGTAAGTAATAAAAATAGCTTAAGCAACAAGAAACAAACAAGAATTTGACAACGTTACTGCAAATCTAAATTGTGATATTTAATTTAACAGCATATTAATTGGCGTTAACTAAAATACATACATACATACATATAGCATAAACAAATGTGTTTTTTTTTTGATGATTTTTATTTAAATTTTTTAAGAAATTTGTGTTTAAATGCGCATAGAAGAAATTTAAATTTAAAATAAGTAAAATATTGCCATTCAAAGTATGTATGTAGTTGTTGAGAAAAAACGCTAAAGAGCTTAAAGCGAAATTTATTTAATTAATAGCCAAAAAAAAAACTAGTGATGATTTTAAAACTGCATTGAAATCAATTCAACTTTTTGTCTTATCTCCAAATTCCTCTACTTTTTCACGTTCACGTCAAAAACGTTCAAAATTAGCGCCTAACAGTTGGGCTATGAAAATTACAAGCAAATTTAAGTTACAAGAAAGCAACGCTATATGTAGTCGCAAACTGTTTGCCTAAATTTAGGCACTTTTTCAATAACTGGAAATTGAATGCTAATATCATGTTCACTTCGAGTGATAAATAAATCAATAAATAAAATAGTAGTAGTAAACGTAAGTACAATAAGTGGTATAAATACATAAATAGGAGTAAAGTACTATTAGTTAATTATGTTGCACATCCATATGTACTTGTGTATGTAATACTCCAAATAACAGTTGCTGTTGAAATATTGTACCTAAATGTTGTGCTAGTGTGTAATTAGTAAAAGATAAATGATTATAATAATAACAAATTGAAAATGTGCCGCAGTTTTGTAAAGTGTAGTATGTGTAGGCGATAAAAATTAAAAAAAAAATAATAATCGTTAAGTTAAAATCCCATTTGAGATGCCGTAATTTTTAAATATAATTTTTATCAGATTTCGAGTGGATACAAAGTTTAAATAAAGTAAGTGTAAAAAAACTTTTATTTTATGCAACTTTTTTGATAAAAATTTGCTTATAGTTTTTCTTTACAGATCTCAAAATTTTACATAGGAATTGTATCTATTCCAGCCTTAAATATTTGGTTTTGCAATAATTATTGGTGGTGTTGTGTAACAACTAAAATGTTTATTTTGTATTTAATTTTGTTGTATTTTATTTATTTATTATATCTTTATTTATGAAATTTTATTTTTTTCAATTTTATCTTATTTATTTCCCTGTCTTTAAACATAGTTTTTTTCTTCTTTTACAATAGTTGTAATTTATTAAAAGTTAAAATATTAAAAAATTTAATTCTTTTTGAGGTTACGCATGTTTTGAAACCCACATAATTTTTCTTCTTCATTTAGATTGGTTTTATTAATGTGTAACTATAGAAAATTACAGCAGCTTTTCAGCCATCGTGATATGTATACATATTTACACTGTCAAAGTCTTCCAAATTACTTTCGAAAATCAAAAGCGATATTTATTTTCTTAAACTGGATAAAGCCTCGGTAGCCACTAAGGTTGCGTAAATTTTTTTGTTGTATTAAAATACTTTCGAGTTTAAAGTTTCCCCGTTTTTCGCTTTAGTGATTTAAAGATTTCAATTTAACAATATTTTTTTATAAATTTTTCTAAATCGGCAATTTGTTTGAGCTTGTGGCGGATTATTCAAATAAATTGTTGAAAAACAAATATTTGCCTTTATTCTTTATTATTATTTATTTCTTACGAAAATTAACGAAAATAAATTAAACCTTAATGAACTACTATAAATGGCTGTTAACTAATGTAAGTAAAAATTGTAGTTGTACTAAAATTTATAATAGAAATTAATTAGACAAGTATGTATGTAATAATAACAATTCATATGTTTGACTATAAAAAATTTCAATTGGAACAAAATAAGCACACACAAATTTTATATGCTTTGTTTTTTAAATGAATTAATAATTTAAATTTAATTGGACAAGAAATTTTTAAATGCATATGGCCATATTCATAAAAAAGTGTAACGGGTATGAAATGCTGCATTATAAAAAGTGATAATTTCATACATGAAATTATTTCATTTATAGCGTGTTTCAAAAATATTTTAATTTTTATGAATATAAACTAATTACTGTACCCAATAAACAAAAAAAAACATTTTGACCGATGAATTGCAAAATAAATAGCGGTACATTATAATTAAAATAAAGATGTATATTATTAAATAAAAAGTTCAGAAAAATATATGAAACAAGTAATTAAAAAGAGTATCGTTTATATGCTCATAAAAATTAAATGTTTGAAGTACCCTTCGTTTCTTCATGATCCAATGATCAGAGCTAAATCAACTTTGGATTACCCTAACCTTACGATAAAAAAAAATATCCAAAACGGTTCACGCGGTCTAAAGTTATCCGGTAATATACATAAAAGAAGAAAAAATACTCCGACGAGTTGATAACCTTCCTCGTTTTTTTTTAAGTCAGTTAGTAAAAAATATAAAGTATATACGTAAACAAAAGTAAATTTTATGTGTGAACATCATGTAATATGAATAGATAAAATATCACAAAAATACATATATAAAAAATAAATAGTATGTATCAATATCGAATTCACATTCAAACTCAAAAATTTTTCACGTAGAATATACTACATATAATATGTATAATATAAAAATAATATATAATATGAGATAATATATGTAATACATATAATATAAAAACCTACAATCAAATCAAAAAGGCATGTGTCAATTGAAATTAATCAAAAACCTTAAAACTAAGTATTAATAAAAAATTAAATAATTTTCATGAACAATCAATTACAAAGAATTAAAATTTTTAAACGCAAAAACTTCAAAATCTAAATCAGTTATTACAACAAGCAAAGTTATTATTAGTTTTTTTTTATGAATAATGTTGAACAACGTTAATCTGGCAGCTCGTGCGCGTATTAATTGCTCTATCTATTTCACATAAAATGTACACAGTCCCTTGTTAAAATACTTCTGCGCGCTTGGTAGAATCAAAAGTTTTTTTTCAAAAATCGGTGGCTAAATAAAGAAGAAGAAATTTACTAAAAACGTGCTGCATATGTGAGTATTTCGGAATTTTAATTAATTTTTTGCCATATTTATGTATTTGCTTACCTTTGCAAGCTTAACAAAAAAGTAAGACTACGTTTTATTTCCATATTCCGATTAAATATGTAATCCGAAATTCTTTATCTACAAAATCGTTCACTACAAAAGTTAATGTTTTTTTTTTAATTATCTTGAAGCAAATTTACTTATGTATATTGTCTGATTTTCATGCAAATGAGCGTCTGGATCCAAAGCGGTTGTTATTTGAGCGTCGATGGTTAGTTAGCCTCGGGTGAATAAGTTCTCAAATGCATAAACGAAATAAAAGAAACCAAAATAAGTTGAGAATATGGAAAATAAAATGAGTAACAAATAAATTGCAAACAAGAATTTTAAACGTTACGAAAAAAATATAAATTAACTAAAAATTAATCTAATATGTGTTGGTGTAAAATACTATTAAATTGCTCAAAAGACAAGCAATTTATAAACAAATATACTTAGTAGTTTTATATGTTTGAATACGAAAAATTTCACAAAGGAATGATAAAATATTGAATATACAGAAAACAGAAATCGAAAAACAATTGGCCAAATAATACATTAATTGAAAGTAACGAGAAAGCAGAAAAAAAACAACGCATACAAAAACGAACATTTTGTTAAATTAATAAAATATAAAACAATGAAATGAAAAAGAAACAAAAAAAAAACTTTGGATTTCGCTCGGTTCATATGTATGTGATGATTTTATATTTTTAACAATTTTTTTCTTTTCCTTTTTGCGTTTTAAGTGCATGATAAGTTATTGATTTTTAAAAAATGCAAAAATGCGAAGCACAAAACAAAACAAGCATCTTATATAATTCATTCGAAGAAACAAGCAAACAAAATATGTGTGCGTGCATAACTAGAAAAATAATTATATACAATATAAGCGAAATAAATTAAATACAGTGCCGGGCATAATGATAAGGTCACCCCTATGGATATTGACAAGTTTTTTTTTGGATTTATATAGGGTTTTTGTTATAGAATGCACAACACTTTTCTAAAAACAAAAAAAAGTATCAAAATAAAGTAATAAAAAATCAGTAGTCAAAACTTGTGACCTTATCATAATGTCGGGCACTAAATATGTATGTATGCTAAGTTAAGCAATAATCTAAAACCAATGAGCTAATGACGAGAAGCAAACAAAAGTTTAGTTATAAAACAAATACCCAAAAAGGCTTGTGTGTACACAAATACTTATAACATACATACATATTGCATAAACTAAAAAAAAAAATTAATCAAACTTGAGGAAAAATACACTTTAAGTAACCGTATGAGTATTATTTATGAATTATACATAAATAATGAAATAAATTTATGCGTTTTAACTAAAAATAAAAAGAAATCTGTGCGTTTTAATGTCAATAAGGGAAGATTGGCCAATAAATTCAAATACACGTTTGTTGGTCATTTACATTTATTAGGCATACATATTTAAAAACTAACATCGTAACGCTCTATAAAATATTTATGTAACTGAGCATCCTTTGTTTTAATAATTCATGAGCAATCGCCTATCATTAAACTCATCACTACTTTTTCGGTTAATGACAAGGTAGCTTTTAAAAGATCATTAAAACGAGCGATTATCCTTCGTATTTTTGTTAAAACAGTCGACTGATTTTTATTTTTATTTTTGTTTTATTTATTTAATTGCTTCATTTGTATTTATTAAGTATTTAAATGTATTTTCTTTAGTATTTTTTTTTATGTATCCACTTAGTTTTTCTGCTGTAATTAATTTGGCGACTTACCATCAAAACTACAGTAAATAACATAAAAAATTCATTCATGTATGCGTTTCAATAACACATTAATAATTTTTTAAGGAAATTTCCTTAGGTGCATATGTACTTATAGAAACATACATATGTATGTTTATAATACACTTTAACGTTTGATAAAAACTATTACGTACATATGTACATATTTATTTACTTCTATTTATTTGATAAACAATTTTTTTTGCAATGAAAATTATTTTTTGCTCCCTTTACTTAATGTATAGGTGGTATTGTCAAGTGGTGAGAGTGTTAACTTTAACTCCATGCTCTGCGCCAAATCATCAACTGTTTTGATTTCGTCTTTAGTTAAGCCGGGTGGCAAATTGAAATTATTCAATTCCATACTCTCCTTAAAGTCCTTCATGAGTTCCTCCATTTCTTTTTCAAAAATGCTACGCGTCTTTTCGTTATTGCTATTCGTTTGATTGCTTTCATTTTTCTTTATTATGCCCATGGCTTTCGTCCAAATGCTACGTTCATTTTCTTTGTAACGTGAATAACGTTGTTCCAGCAGCTTCAGCTCTTTACTTATATCATCATTTTGTGGCTCCATGCGCTGTGAGCGTATAAGTATGTGGCGTGCGCGTTCATACTCACCTGTGCACCAAAAGTTTATTAAAAAGTTTTAGTTTTAACTTCGTTTTATGCAACTACATACATATGTATGTGCAATCTATGTTTCACTCACCCAACAGCAGCAGCGCGCGTCCCTCCTGAAACAACGCTTTACAAGAGGGTTTATTGTCTGTCAGCTGGCGTATTTCTTTGCACATAATGCAAGCCTTTGCGGGCAAGTTGACCTTATTATAGCATACTGCTAAATTCGTATATAGTTTTAGCAGAAATGCTGTTTGCTCGCGCTGTTCTTGTTCATTGGCCAAGTGGCAACTGTTCAACATGCTTACAGCCTTTTCAAAAGCTCGACAAGCATTCTTATGTAATCCTTGTCCAAAGAAATCTAATCCTTTAAGATGCACATCTCGTATTTTATCGATTACTGTTGCATATTTGCCACGTTCTTCATCCGTCAACTTTTGGTCGGCATCCAAATCTCCCACAGGATTGAATGAAACCAATTCGATTATAAAAAGCCCATCAGCACGTGGTTTAACGCGTGGTGGACATCCTATTTCGCGAAACAATAACTGATATGAAATCACGAATTGTGCTTGTTCCCCACGATACATTGTTCGTACCGCCGCCTCCAAGCCTTCAATCACTTCATTTCGTCCGGTATAGAAGTGATACGACGAGCCACGTAGAAAGGACGAATCAAAAGGTGCACCCTCTCCCTCCCAATAAGCATTGTAGCGTATACATACGCGCGCATTTAACGGAACTTCACCGTATTCAGTCAACCCGGGCTGCGTGATTTTTTTATAAATGTGTTCATTTATCTTTACCATCTGCAGTCGTAACTCGTCGAAAGGTTTTGTCCATGGTGATACCAAGGCTGAGCGATCTGTGGCTGTCTTGTCATCGTCTTCCTCGTCGGAACCCAAATTTAATTCATCAAATATATCATTGCTGAAACCTTCATCGAAATTCGTGTTTATCTCAAAAGTTGTACCAGGTCCTATGAGATCCCTGGGATAACAGAAAAGCCAATAGTTTTTGGAATACTAGGGTATGTATAGCAACTTACCCAATAGATAGTGGATCTTTCAGGAAGTTGCAACTGCTGGGGATAGTATCGTCCTCTAATTTATTCATTTCGTTGATTATTTTATATTTTTTGCGAGCTCAGCAATTCTTATCAAATACATCAAGGAAAAATTTAGCGGCATTAACAAATGTGAACTGAACTGCAGGTGCAGAAGAAGAAGAAGGGCTAATTGCCTAGTGTTGTAAAATGAAGAGAACATTTGTTTACTACTTGTTGATGCAGATAAAATCGTCTCTCAGATGAAAACGGTTGTTCCAAAAAACACACAAGTGCAGATTTTATCATGAATTTGTATCCTGCGTAATTTTTAATAAAGTAATGTAATAAGTGATTTCTGATTAATATCAAAAGGTGAGTAACATTTTAACTGCCAACGTATCACCTAGAACTACATGGGTTCTGCCAATGACCTTTTTCTTGCATATGAATGTTCCTACATTTCGATGGTTCTCTGCAATAACGACACAAGTCAAAACCGCATACTACAGAACAGTCCACGTCTCTAATCCATATCTAATTCTTCCTAACTCTTTATCACTGCTTTACTAAGATTTAGTAAGGATAAGGCAGGGATTACAGCATTGTGCCACTATTCAGTAGTAAATGTTTTTTTAGTTTTCAGTAACGTCGTTATTGCAGAGGGCCATCGGTATATTCATAAGCCTGTTCCAGATTTTGCAAGATTTACACGAAAAGCTATATTCGCCTTTAATAAAACTTATGTAAGAAGCTTACGGGAACAGCTTCCTGTAAACTCCTGCAATTCTGGAAGTATATACCTGGAACAGGCTTATATACATAAGAATCAATTGAAACGCTTTTTTATCATAATACATATCTTCTATATTTTATATATAAAAAATCTTAATATTAAAAAACAACACAGTATGGAATATTATTTAACGGTCTATAATTTCGACTTGAGTGAGCGCATTAGTTTTTCCAGCTTCATTGCCTTATTCAAATCGCCTGAAATTTTTAATTTGCCTGTCATAAATGCAGTTGCAGCCTTAAGTTTTCCCGAAAACATATCGTGGAAGTTATTCGCTTTCATGGTCAGTGTTGCGTCAGGTGACACCTTTGGCTCACCAATGCCGCATGAACCAGGTCCGTTTTTCAAATCTAAATGCCAAGTGCCTTTCTCATCGCCTTCAATATTGAATTGGAAAACAGCCTGCGTTTTTTGTACTAGTTCTGGCGAAAGTAATGTTTCAATTTTAACAAATAACGCCGGTATTTGTCCGGAAGAAGCTGCAACAGTCGTTTGTTGTTTAAACTGTTCTTTTGCAGTATTGAGTTCATTCTCTGATATATCCAAAAAGAAGTCAGGCATAAGTTTGTCTGCGTATTCCGGATTGCATGCATACTGTTTCAAGTCAGTCACACCAGCCTCTGTTAGAACTTCATCGTCGATTAGGAAACGTCCTGTGCATTGAGTTGGCTCACGTATTAAAACAGCATATGCGGCATCTGCCATTATATCTACTTTACGCGAGATATTGGAACTTTCTGCACCGGCTAACATTTCCATGGCCGCAGTTTGTATTGCGGTGCGTGGCCACAAAGCATTCACCGCCACTTTAGAAGAGCGGAATTCTTCAGCCATACCCAAAACACACATCGACATACCATACTTGGCAATTGTATAAGCGACATGTGGAGCAAACCAGATAGGATTCAAATTAAGCGGCGGCGAAATATTTAAGATATGAGCATGATTACTTTTAATTATGTACGGTAAACACTCTTTCGAAACGAGGAATGTGCCACGTGTATTTATATTATGCATCAGATCATAACGTTTCATATCTGTATCCAGTGTGCCGGTCAGTGATATGGCAGATGCATTATTTATCAATATATCGATACCGCCGAACTTCGCAACAGCATCCTGAATGGCTGAACGCACCTGTTGTTCGTCGCGCACATCTACTATGCATGGATGCGCCCGTCCACCGGCCTTTTCAATCTCTTCAGCCGCAGTGTAAATTGTTCCAGGCAATTTAGGATGGGGAGTACTGGTTTTCGCAGCAACAATAATATTTGCGCCATCGCGAGCAGCCTTTAATGCAATTGCTTTTCCGATGCCTCGCGACGCACCTACATATATACGTAATGAAGTACCAAAATGAAAGTTGACACACTTTTGTTAGAAGCAAATTTTCATTGAATAATTACTATAGTCCATTACCGGTTATAAAAAGGGTACGTCCAGCTAATTTTCCGGTATTAATCATTTTGTACTTTTAAAGTTGTTAAAGTCACCACAGAATTATTTCGACTACTCCGTAACACAATCGCTTAATGAATGCAAAATCGGATGGGGCGAACAAACAATCAACAAGAGCAGAGTCCAAAGTACATATTCGGGCACAGAGGCAGAAACAGCTTATGTGTATATGTACATATGTGAGTACATAACTACAGATGTTCGTATGAAATAGTAGCTTATGTCGGGAAGCTCGCTTTAGTATAATGCGGCATTCCCTCTATTCTTTAAACAACAAGGAATTTTTTGATGAGACCTAATAAGAATATTGACTTGCTAATATCGGAACTATTTCTTGCACGTTTTTTTGCCAAAAATTCTTTAACGGCTCGGCGCGCCAGTGAGTCATTCGGTAAAGTATGCTGCGAATGCCGCATTGTACTAAAGCCAGCCTTTCGACATAAGCTACTATTCCATACGAACACAGATATGTACCTACTTCGACGTCAGATATTGCTTTATTCACTGCGCTTTTATTGTGGAAAAAATGTAAACAAGATGAAGCTGTTTATGGTCCAAAAGGAGGTTTCCAAAAAAAAGAAAAATGGGCAGTACAAACCTCATGCATATACATATGTACATGTGTATGTACGTAAGAACGGAACCGGAGTTTAAATTAAATATTTTTGGCTATACAAAGCTATTTATAAATAAGTACTTACTGATAAAAATTGTCAATGACTTAAAATTTGCAATCGTCAAAACAATTTTTGGCGGGGCATCGAAAGTGAAATTATGGAGATAGTACGTTGATAAATTTGTGTATATATGTACATATCTGTAGCATTTTATTAAAACAACTTATCTCGAGATAGGCCACTTTCACTTTAAAGCAATATTTCATTGTGTTCCAAAACAGTATTTTAACGATTGACCAGTCATAGTTGTAGCATAAGACACTATTTTAATAAAAGCTTAAATAAAAGAGTATAAAATCTTTAAAGGCAACCTTATTTTTAATTCACAGTCCATTCTTCTAAAGTCTTTTTAATTGTTTTAATAAAATACCACAGATATATTAACATATCGGTGCCGTTCAATTAAAGTAGCTTAAGTGACTTGCTACTTTGGACTGAGTAGGCAATTCAGGAGTAAAGTCCTCTCTCGACGTACGAAAACCACGCTCTATAAGTCACTCATCATGCCCGTGCTGGTATATGGCGCAGAAGCATGGACAATGACAACATCCGATGAGGCGGCTCTTGGGGTGTTTGAGAGAAAGATTTTGCGGAAGATTTACGGTCCTTTACGCGTTGGCGACGGCGAGTACCGCAGACGATGGAACGATGAGCTGTATGAGCTTTACAACGATATGGACATAGTGCAGCGAATTAAAATACAGCGGCTCCGCTGGCTTGGTCATGTCGTTCGAATGGACACCGACGCTCCAGCTCTGAAAGTATTCAACTCGGAACCCGCTGGTGGTAGCAGAGGAAGAGGGAGGCCCCCACTGCGATGGAAAGATCAGGTGGAGAAGGACTTGGCTTCACTTGGCGTTTCCAATTGGCGTCAGTTGGCACAGAGGAGAAACGACTGGCGTGCTTTGCTGAACTCGGCCAAAATCGCTTAGGCGGTTACAGCGCCAAAAAAGAAGAAGAAGAAGAAGTGACTTTAGAAGGTTTAACTTCGAAATAAAAAATAGACAGTTTCCCTTGAAAATTTTTACATTTTTATTAAAGGCGTTTTTTTCTACCGAAAAATGTCACCTTCTCAGTGGCGTCTACGAACAAATATTAAGAGGACAATGAAAAGGTAAACTTTTTTGTAGAAGGGAAAACGCCATATGGTGGTCCGAAGATTTTTTGCTGCTAAATTCTAGCAAATTAGTCTATTCCAATAGCAGTCCGGTTTACAGGATTTAGTCAGAACTTACAGGAAGTCGTTCCTATTAGGTTTGTTCGTCGAAAATCCAGCAAGAATTATCCAACACTCAAAATATCAGAGAGTAAGAAAAAATTCTCTCAAATTCTCTCTCATGTTGAGAAACTTACAAATTTCTTCACGAACGCAAATTTGCAGGAATTTGCAAGTTTCGCTGCCAGCTGGCGTCCACGGTTGCATTTCAAACATAAAATTTTTTTATAGAATTTTTAAAATTCTTTCGGATGGCCAAAAACAGGATATACATGTATATTTCTTGTTGTTCTGACTTTCTTTAACATACATTTCAATTTCTTCATCGTATTAGCTGTCGGGTTTCTTAATCCGACTCTGGTTGCAATTGCATTCCGATTGCGAATACCATTTTTTTCAGCCGAATTAAGTTCAAATCATTGGAATTAACTAATTTAATTATATCAACAATTATTTACTTCCTTTTTTCATAAAAAATCGCTCGTGTTTATAAATTTTTAAATTTAACGAACTAATTTATTCAAATTATTGTAGACAAAAATGCAACCATGCGCCACAACCACATGTTTCGAGTTTGCAAATTCTTGCTGGCAAAATTTTTTCCAGCAAGAATTTGCAACTTCTCTCCAAGAGAACTGTCACTTTGCTCTCACAATTTTTGAGTGTTGGATAATTTTTTGGTCTGCACGAACGCGATTTGGGCAAAAATCGTGATAATTCGTACAAATTCGTACAAATTTTTTGCTCGACGAACAAACCTATTGACATAAAACCTGTAAGTGGGAACACATTTGAGAGAGTAACTGAGCAACTGTTCCTAGTCAGAAGTTACAGGATTTAGTCCGGAGTTTTTTTTCCTGTAAGTTCATGAAAAGTGTCAAACGATCAGCTGATTTGCATGTGCACGCAAAAACAAACAGCGGTGAAAGCAAAGTAGCTTATATTTGTAAAAAAATGGAAGTAAACAACGAAATGTTAGAATATGTATAGATTTTAATAATTATTTAGTTTCAGCTAAATCAGTGTTGTACAAATGACATGTAAACAAACCGACTGACGTTTTTACAGGAAATAGTGCTTTTTGCGTTCCTATGCACTTCTGCATCTGTTCTCCTTTTACTCTCATTTGAGAGAGTAAAATTGTAGTTTGACAGTTCCACAGGTTTTAGTCCGAAGTTCAAAGGAACAGACTTAGGGCCGGTTGTTCAATGTCTGATTAGCACAAATCGGAGGAAGAAGCTCCGGTTAGATACAACGACTGCTTTATCGATCATATGTTGTACACATGATGACGAAGTCGTCGATAATGATGTTTAACCGGCAAGTAGTGATAACCAGACATTGAACAACCGGCCCTTAATGTGTCAAATGATCAGCTGTAGTGTGTTTGACAACCAAATTGTAAACAAAAGAAAAGTGCCAATGACATGTAAACAAAGCGACTGACGTTTATGCAAGAAATAGTGCTTTTTTTGTTCCCGTACACTTCTGCATCTGTTCTCATTTTACTCCCACTTGAGAGAGTAACGTTGTAGTTTGGCAGTTCCACAGATTTTGCCCGAAGTATACTGGGTATTATTAAAATCTATACATATTCAAATACTTCGTTGTTAACTTCCACATTTTGACAAATATAAGGTTCTTTGCTTTCAACGCGTTCTGGTTTCGTTTACAAATGCAACCCTGCTTAGCATCTGACACTTTTTTTGAACTTGCGCGAAGAAAAACTAAATCCTGCTACTTCTGACTAGGAACAGTTGCTCAGTTACTCACTTAAACGTGTTCCCACTTACAGGTTTTATATCTATAGGAACGACTTCCTGTAAATTCTGACTAAGTCCTGTATACCGGATTGCTATTAGGGGTATTCGCGAAATTTGGCAAATCCCTTGCGCGTAGCACGGATTGCATAATTGCAAAAGCACAACAACAAAATACATACATGGGAAAAACCAAGGCGATTGTTGCTTTCAACTAAAAGTTGCCTGAAAAATCGCCTCATCTAAATTTCCTATTACATATTCTTTACATCATCTCGCTCACTTCATTTTTTTTGCTGTATTTTGTTATTGTATTTTATACAGAATTTCGCTGGTTGCCACCTATGCATGCTACTACTTTGCAATGAGGTACATTCGTACTCTTCCATATCTGGAATAGTATTTTTGCATTTCGAGCAATCCGTGCATCGTGCAAGACTTCGAGAATACCCCTATTGGAACAGACTAATATCTAGTCTGTTCCAATAGCAGTCCGGTTTACAGGATTTAGTCAGAACTTACAGGAAGTCGTTCCTATTGACACAAAACCTGTAAGTGGGAACACAATTGAGAGAGTAAATGAGCAACTGTTCCTAGTCAGAAGTTACAGGATTTAGTCCGGAGATTTTTTTCCTGTAAGTTCATGAAAAGTGTCAAACGATCAGCTGATTTACATGTGCAAACAAAAACAGAAAGCAGTGAAAGCAAAGAAGCTTATATTTGTTAAAAAATGGAAGTAAACAACGAAATATTTGAATATGTATAAATTTAATAATTATTTAGTGATATTTCAGCCAAATCGGTGTAGTACCAATGACATGTAAACAAACCGTCTGACGTTTTTACAGGAAATAGTGCTTTTTGCGTTCCTATGCACTTCTGCATCTGTTCTCCTTTTACTCTCATTTGAGAGCGTAAAATTGTAGTTTGACAGTTCCACAGGTTTTAGTCCGAAGTTCAAAGGAACAGACTAATCATGTCAAATTGCACAAGATTGCTGGACATTTTATATACAAAACATCCAATGGACCATTGTGACCTACGCCCGACATATCACACACCATCTTCAAAAGTGACACAACTCAAAAGAACACGTTCTTCAGAAAATGCGAAAAACTATTTCGTAGCATATGCTAATCATATAGGCAAGGGAGACTAACCTTAGGTTTTTTCTACAAATTATAACAAAACCTTGATCCAGTTGTGTACATTTTTAGTGCATTTTATCAAAAATGCCAAATTTTAAGTTGTATCATCTTTGAAGATTGTGTGCTATACCTAAAAAAGCGGGTTCTCACCATCAGGGCTGCCAACTTAGCCCAAACCGTGTCATAGTTGGCCCTATTTTACCTTAACAGGTCTATTCTGCACGTTACCGAAGATTTTGTAACCGGAAATTTTTATTACCAAACAATTTTACCAGTTTTTGTCACCGCGATTCTAGGAACGTTGGTAATGCAGTTAAAGTTTTCAGCAATTCAGCTATGAAGAATTGTGCAAATTCTAGCATAGCATATTTCACGGGGCAATACTTTGTTACCAGCTTATGAGATCGTAACAAAATTTACCGGCTACAAGAGTACACAGAATGCGAAAAGGGTTTAAAAATTGACAGGAACTTTATTTACCGGTTACAAACTTTTTATTACCAGCGCAAAATAGACCTGTAAATGGCACTTAATTTTTTAATTTGGCAAAAAGTGCCAAAATGGCACTTTTGAAAAATAGTAATATTTCAATACATTTCCGTGTACTTCTTTTTCTCCACTAAAATTTTCTAATTTCTAAAGTGTATGCAACTGGCTTATCTTACCTTGGCATTGGACTTTCGTTTTAAGAATGTGTTTCTAATTTTAATGCTAAATGGGAGGAGTTAAAAAGATTAGCACCTTTTGTGGCACTTTTATATTTATATTAGGCACACTTGGCACTTTTTCATCCTCAATATGGCACTTCACAGCTAAGTACATAATATAATAACATAATTTTAATGTGGCAACACTTAATTGTTATCGATTTTGTTGTAGCATATCGAACATTTGCCAATTAAACCACCATTTCTGAAAACTCCCGCTGGATGCGGAATTTGCAATTTCATTTGTGGAAATAGCTGATCTCGCCTAGTGTTGTTCCCATACGACCTTTACTCGATACCTGTACTCTTCAAAAATATTGAAGAAAAGTATCGATGCCACAAATGTATCGGAGAGAAGTACTCGATACTTACTCATATCGAACTCATTGTAAATACTTATGTCATGTGAAGAAAAACAGAATCGGTTCGAGTACTCTCCGACCAAAACTTACCGAAAAGGTAGCCACAAGTTTGTATCTTGCAAAATTTTAATAATTGACTAGTACGGGAAAGCAGGAATTTACACTTTCTTTATTAGCCAACTTAACATGGTGCAAAAACCACAACAGCATGATTCATATATTGTCAGAACCGAAATTCAGAATTTTTGGAAAAGCATGTAATACTTTAATCGCGTACTCGATACCCACCTAAGTACTTGCGGGAAGGATTCGAGTACAAAAAGTACTCAGTACTTGAAGAAAGTATCGAGTAATTACTTGTAGTTACTCGTATCGGAACAACACTAATCTCGCCTCATTATAGCATTTATTTTATTTTGTGCGATTAATCAATTAATATGAGTTATAATAAATTAATTAATTGCGCAGTCCTATTGGGAAATGTGTTAATACAAATATTTTTTAAAAGTATGAATATTTTTTAAGAAAATTGTTTGCACATCAGTTTTCTCGCTCCCTCTTGACAAATTCGGCTCTCTTAGCGTGTGGGTGCGTGTGTGTGTGCAACCTTTTGTAAGGGAGTGTCAAAACTCGAATGTCTCTAATGAGCAAACCTTTAATTATTGAATCACATGAACCAAAAATACAAGATCACGCCTTCTTCTTAGTGGCCCGTTATAATCGCATTTAGGAAAAAAGTTGGGCGACTTTGACATTAGCCGTTTGTTTACATTTGTTCGTTGTTTACAATTTGGTGGTTACTTTTTACTGCAATTTTCTTAATTTTCGCTTGTGACAACGTGTGCACACATAAGGTAAAAAATAATTTAACACAACGACATGATTTATAGAAGAATTTGCATAATAAAAATGCTTATTCATGCGTTCAACAATAACGCGGTTTTTTTTTGTTCTCTTCGTTGTTTACTTCTTACAACAAAGATGGCGTCGAGATTTCAACAGCTAGAAAATAACTTTTTTCTTTCTTTCGGGAAGGCGTGATCTTGTGTCTTTCGTTCATGATTGAATCATGAGTACATCACTATCATATAAGTCCCCTTTCAGACACGTCAAGTCTTTAAAGCAATTTTTTCGCATTCTCTTTTGTGTTTTCTATTTGCTTCCACACGCGTCAACTTTAATTGAATTCAAGTCCTTGGTTCTTTAAATGGGAAGCAACGAAAAGATCAAAAGAGACAAGAAAACTTGAAACGAATTGACGGTACGGAGGTATCTGTACTGTTCCCCTCTCTTCTCACCTCCTTCGCCTACGAACGAGCAGACTTGAAAGCAAGACTTGACGTGTCTGAAAGGGGACTAAGTTATTTGTGTTCACAGTACACAGTAATCCAGATAGGCAAAACAAAAATTCCCAACAAGCAAAATAAACTTAAAGAAAGTTTTTTTTAAGTTTTCAATTATAAACATTAAGCTTTCAAAACGTTGATTTTTTGTTTATAAAACGCTTGGAAGTAAGCGTAATATAATCGAAAAGGAACATTGGTTATAAGCGTAGAAATATAAACTTGTAATAAATGTTCAAAAGAAAGCTTTTTATAAGCGTAAAAGTGTAAACTTATAATAAAGGTTCAAAAAAAGTTTTTTTATTAGCGTATCAATATAAACTTACTAAAAATTTTCAAAAGAAAGCTTTTTATAAACATTTTTATAACCCTTTATTTAAAGATATTTCATTAAAAACTCATACATAGATTGCTTAACATCTAGAAACTAAACGAAATACGAATTTTCGGCGGACTCATCTACAGTCGCGAAAATATAAATAGGGAATAGACATTTTAGCATACAAATTCGCAATAACACATACAAATTAAGCATAAAAAAGTTAATTATTACATCTTGTTGCGTGCTTTCAATTACTTGCGGTTATTGGCAAATTGGAAAAGCGACATCGATGCAGCTATATATTCCGCTTCATCGCCGCCATTCTCATTGATGAACTTTTCTGAAAAAAATTTAATACATTTTTAATTGAATGTTAAACTAAGAAAGGATAAGGGGAACTCATCATTTGGAAACTCGAATGCTCCACCGATTAGCGCAGCGGGTCCTTGATTGGATTTTCTTGTTTTACCGCATTGGTTTTATTTAATTTTTTCTTTTAATAATATATTTAAAAAATCGTAAACACGTCACTTACGATTGAAAAAATTTTATATTTACTACTTCATGTCGTTGGCATTTGCATTTCATTTATAAGTTTAAGTTATTTATAAACATTCGCTCTCAAAACTTATTAAAGGTTTATTTGAAAAAACCTTTAATAAGCTTAATATTAAAAATGCTTATTTAACGCTTATTATAGCAAACTTACTTTAAGTTATTTTTAAAAACATTTACTGAAATGCTTGTTGGGTTGTAAATATGCTTATTTGACAATTTATTTGAATGTATTGGTTGATATTTTTTCACAGTTGTCGTTTTCTTTAACCCAAATGAAATCCAATTTCAATATTTTCTTATAGTGGAAAATATTTTCAAGTCACATAAAATAAAACAACGAGAAAAACAAAATTCCTAGCAAATCAGGCTTGCAGCGTAAGCGATTATAACCGGATGCAGTTCCTACATAAGTCATATCTGGTTCCAAACACAACTTTGAGTGAATAATGGTGGACTGATTTTGGAAAATGGACCCATAAATTAGGGGGTAAAACAAGTATTACTTAGGTAGAACTCTCTAATTTTCAAATATACCACTCTTATAGTGGCGACCTATAAAGTTTTTATGAAATATGTACCCAAAGTTATATATCGACGCTTGAACTAATGCAGGAAAGGTTTATGCAGATAAGCAAGGCCGTTTTTCAACGGTATAAAATGTATATACACATATTCTTAAATACATATTTATCAAAATATTCAGTTCAGTTGTGTCTGTTTGTAAATACGCTAACTCGAACAAAATTTAGATATTTTAACGAGAATCGGTGCCGAAGATGCCTTTGGTATAATTTAGGTTAGTATTAAATTTTGGTGAAATCTGTCTATAACCACGACAACCTCCCATGTAGTAATCAACAATATTTTTGTTCTATTATTTTTTTTTTACGAATTTCGTTCTTAAAGTTTACATTTCAAATATATCAACAAACATTTGGGGGTACTTTTGCACCAGTCATTTCCTATGGGTTAATACAAAATAATCCTATACATGCACAATATTTCATGTATTAATTTTCAAATAAGCATATTGTCAACTGCTGGTTTACTGTATACTGTGATTTGTGTTATTTACTATTACCTTGAAGGCATTATATTTCTTTTTTTTTTTGTTTTAAAAACTATGTTTTAACAAGATCTCATTCTAAAAAAAAAAGATTTTTTAAACCGATTTCATGAATTTTATCAAAAGAAAAAATTGGCCATTTTTTCTGTAAAGGCTCTTTTCTTTTTAAACACTCTGGACACCCTGCTTATCAGGAAGAAGAAGAATGGGTAGGTTCAGAAGGCGCAGCAGTTGAGCGCAACCGTTGCTAAAAAAATCAGTGATAGTAATGCGTCTTCTGAACGGCTTGATACATTATCTGTCAAATTCAAAACACACAACATGTTGTCTCAAATGATCAGCAAAATATTACGATCATCAAACACGCAACTGTTCAGTTGATCAGAAGTACAAAACAACGCGTTCAGAAGGTGCAATCGCAACAGTTACTGAGCTGTTGCACCTTCTGAACGTGCCCAATGGCAAAATTTAGGGAATTACGCTCACACAGAGTGAATTAAAGAAAAAGTAAAGAAACGCAAAACTTGCAGAAACCAGCAAGTAAGCAGCTGATCGGTGTATTTCGACTATTGAAAATATTTTGCTTTGCTCTCGACATTTTCGTTGTTTCCCATTTAAAAGAACCAAAAACTTTAATCGACTGAATTGAAGCGTGTGAAAGCAAGAACACAAAAGAGAAAGCAAGAATTGCTTCAAGTACTTTACATCATGTAAACCGGGTGTCAGGTTCTTAAAGTCAATTAAAAATTTGAAACAGGAGGGCAGCACTTTGTAGGTGTTGGCAAAAAAACACCTGACATGATCTGACATTTCATTCTGGCGTTACGATATTTTACAATTAGCCATTTATCTTTGCACGCCGTGAATTTACATGTGTTGTATTTATTTTCTTGGTATTTTAGAGGAAAAGTGTGCTAATTTAATTTAATAGTTAAGTAAAACTGCGCAAGTACCACAATTTAAAGTCAGTTTCCTAGTAGCAGGTGCGTAAATGTGCCAAGAGTGTGCCATCTCAATGTTGATCGGGACTTGGGATTGGCAGTTGAGTTGAAAGAAACCCATAAATTAATCTTATCACTCGAACAAGTGTGGAAATTGCTTTTCGATATACACTTTCCGTCGTCAGGTGCATGACGCATTCATCATACAAGGAAACTAATGTTTATTGGGCGGAAAAGTTTAAATCGATATTTCAATTATTAAAAATTTTCGCCTGATAGCATCGGCAACATGGTGGCTATACCTTATTTATTTAACGAAATCGAGCTAATTTTCCAAAATGTAAGCTCATATGCATACTTTATGTAAACTACATTTTCATAAATGTATCCTCTGTTTTCAGACACCACTCTTTGTAATTGTATTGGAAGCTTTTTTACTACTTTCGGTTATATGGTTGTTGCTTGTCAAACGCAATGGGCGTGATAAACGTTATAGCAAAGAGAAAGAAGAAGAAATTATATCTAAATACCAACCGGAGCCTCTCGTAGCTGAGACCGATCCATCTCATCCGCTGCTGAAAACACGCTTGGTACAATCAAAAGTTGGCAAACGTGTAGTCGTTGATGGGCACGATTGTCTTAATTTGGCAACACATAATTATTTAGGTTTACTGGAAGACGAAAAAATATTAGATGATGCCTGTAAGGCTATAAAGAAGTATGGTGTGGGCTCTTGTGGACCACGTGGTTTTTACGGAACAATGGACGTGCATTTGGATTTGGAGGATCGTTTGGCAAAGTTTATGGGTATGGAAGAGGCGGTGGTGTATTCTTATGGATTTTCTACTATAGCAAGTGCTATACCAGCGTATTCAAAGCGTGGGGATGTAATTTTTGCGTAAGAAAAATTGAGCTAAAAATTAAGCTATATTTCTCTAACACTTATGCATTTTAAAGCGATGAAAAAGTTAATTTTTCTATACAAAAAGGTTTGGATGCATCGCGTAGCACAATATATTACTACAAACACAATGATATGACCGATTTGGAGCGCTTGCTAATCGAACAGCAAAGGCGTGATGTAAAGGTTTGCAAGTTGATATAATACTCAAATGACGTATTGATATCTAGTGGTTTTTTTAAGTGCAGAATCCAAAGAAAGCCGCTAAGACTCGCCGTTTCCTGGTTGCCGAAGGTATTTACATGAACACTGGCGAAATATGCCCTCTTCCCACTTTAGTTGCGCTGCGTGCCAAATATAAGTTACGCTTGTTTCTTGACGAAAGTATTTCCTTTGGCACGCTTGGCAAAACTGGTCACGGTCTCACGGAGCACTTTAATGTCGATGTAAGTAAAGCGCGAACATAAACTCGTTTCTTTTGTAAGCGCTTTCTCTCTTCTTTTACAGCTAATAGAAGTCGACCTAATTATGGCCGGCATGGAAAATTCTCTAGCAACAATCGGCGGCTTCTGCGTGGGGTCTCACTTCATTGTAGAACATCAGCGGCTCTCCGGCCTTGGTTATTGCTTCTCTGCTTCACTGCCACCATTATTAACACAAGCAGCAATCTCAGCACTGGATCGCTTCGAAAGTCAGCCAAAAATGTTTACAGAGCTACAGGTAATATCGGGCAAAGTGCAGGAAGTATTTGGTAAATTATCAAAATTAAAATTGCACGGTAGCGAACTTTCACCTGTCAAGCATTTGTACATCGCCGAACAACGTGAGAATGCGGATATGGAACGCGAGTTGCTTACCGAAATAGCCAATAAGGTATTTTCACACATCAATATCGAGGACTTATATTCAATACCCTCTATGTGCACTTTTCACAAAAATTAGATTCTGATATGTATAAAAATCCACTGCTTAACTGTTATCGGTGACTTTGTATAACGCTGACAGAAAAATTTACTAATAAATTGCAAGGTCATATTTACTGTCAGTGGGAAAATTACATATAGAGGATATTGAATATAAGCTCTGGATGTTATTTTACCTACTAGTTCTTGAACCAATCTTTTTTGGAATTTATCATTAGTGCATTACCCGTGGTGTTGCAGTCATTGAGTCGCGTTATCTGGAGAATTTGGAAAAGCACACTATACGTCATAGTATTCGTATTACCGTGAATCGTTTGCTTACCGATAATGATATCAACCATGCGTTTGATGTTATCGAAAGTGTGACTAATGAGGTACTGTAAATTGCTCTCTTTTTTTAGTCCATTAGTGAGCAAATGAGTACGCCAAGGGCCTTAGGGGTACTTAGAATCAAATGGTTATGTTTTAAGGCAGCAGAATGTTTCAGTATATTTGTTTTAATATGTTAAACTGATTTGTATTAAGGTGAAAACTACTACTACTACTATTAATTTATAAAGCAGATAAGTATTTGAAATTATTGTCATCCAGGAATGACGTTACGAAAATGTGTGACTAAGGAAGTACTTCCTCTTTATTTGTAAATTTTCTATTCTCTTATGAAACAATTGGAATGTGCATTCACACTTTTGAAAAATAGAACAGTTAACTTTAAAACTCAGCCAACTATAAATTCTATAAATTGTTTAATTTTTAATACCAAATTTCATTGTTCTCTACTATAGTATAAAATATAATCCTTTTTTGTCATTTTTATAAAATTCTTAATGTTAAAATATCTCTATATTATAAGCTCATGCACATTCCACACCAGGAATATACATACTAACAGGAAAGAATCATGTTCAAGAACCAAAGCCAGATGCAACATATCCTTTATACATACATATGCCTAATGAAAACATATGTATGTGTTCAAGTTATATAAGCCAAAAATAATTTATTTTTTATTGTTTGGTAGCGCTTCGAAATAAAATGTGCATTTTGTACATTCAGTCGTAAATACTTGCTAGAACAAGTTCATCGCTTTAAGACTTAAAGTTTAAGTGATCGTTATGTATTAAAAAATCTATTATTTGTTATAATAAGATGCTACGACACGCCTTAACTTTAACACTCGCAAAAAAATTTAATAAATATTTAACTCGTAAAATCTGTATCTAAATTCTAACTTTTGTGCATTTTTGTGTACGTATGATTCATATAAATGAAAGAATTGATGTTCTGTGGATATTTTCATAATCTCTACCTTTAATAGAAAATTTGTATTCACTTTTCTCGCTTATTGTACAATTTTTTTCACTAAAACAAATTGTATTGTAACTTAGCACAACTACTAAAATATGAGTATGGTGCATGGCTTGTCATAAGGCGTCAGACAGCTGGTACCTAGTCACTGGCATGTGCGTAGACCACTGCTGTACGAGATGGTGTATAAACCTGCAAGAAGTTATGAGAAATTTACAGGTAAACTAATACGTCAGGGTTTTTTTATAATTCAATTAAATTCTTAAAATTACATTTATGTATGTATCTCATAAATATTTATGAGGCTTTTTTGTCCCTTTCCTGTATACGGGCATATCAAAGTTAAATTTGTATATTTTATATTTTACCAATTTACTTATTTAATTTCGCATCTTTTTCCAATATTTCATAAAAAATTTTCTTGATCTTTTTAAAGGTAGCCATCGCCTTATTACTCACCTCAAAGAAATTCTCTCGTCCGGCGTAGCCTTCAGGTCGCGTAAAATGCTTGCAATTCTTGTCGATGCGGTTGTGTCCACCAAAGAGGTCATCATCCGAGCTCAAAACCGCTTGATATGTGCCCGCCCAATTTGTGCCGACGCGATATCCCGTGAAACTTTGCGTCGGATGGAAGTTGAATACGAACACCAAGCCAGCACGCTCAAATGCGATCACCTTATCACCTTCGTGCTTCCAGCTCACATAGGCCGGGTCTGAATGCAGCCAGCCAAAACGCTCTTCTAGCTCGTTCATCGCACGATCAAATTCATTTAAAAATTTGTACTTCAGCAAAGGGTCATCAACTAAATTCCATTGGCGACGGGCGTAATGATAGGAATCATTGTTGCCCTTACGTGGGAAATCCAGCCACTCCGGATGGCCAAACTCATTGCCCATGAAATTCAGATATGCTTCGCCGCCCAGTGAGTGCGTTATTAAACGTATCATTTTGTGCAGCGCAATACCGCGATCGACGATCAATGACGGCTCCGATAAGGTAGACATGTGCGTGTACATTTCCTTGTCCATCAGCCAGAAAGCGATCGTTTTGTCACCCACCAGCGCCTGATCGTGCGACTCCGCATAGGCGACTGTGTTCTCCTTCCAGCGGCGATTGGTCAGCGTATGCACAAGGTTGCCGATATTCCAGGTGTCATCGGTGTGCTCTTTCAGCAGTTCAATCCACTTGTCAGGTATGGCCATGGCTAGACGGTAATCGAAGCCGATGCCACCTTCCTCGATCGGTCGGCAGAGTGTAGGCATGCCGGAGACGTCCTATCGTGGCGCGCCAAAAATATAAGTTCTTTTATTGACAAAGCATTTATATCCAAAAGCGAAAACTTACCTCTGCTATGGTGATGACCTCTGAATTTTGTGTGCGCAGCATATAATTCGCTAATGCCAGGTAGTTCAACGCATCTGTGTCAACATTCAGGCCAAAATATTCATTGTAGTCTCCGCTGAAGCCTTCACCAATGCCGCGCGAATGATACAACATTGAGGTGACGCCATCAAAACTAGTTAAGTATTTAGACAACATAAAATCAGGCATGCATTAAAATTAAATACAGTTTCTTTCTTCATCCCCTACTCACCGATAGCCATCAAAGAAGTACTCGTCATGCCACCAACGCAAATTTGATAACAAAAAGCGCAATACCTCATACTCCACGTAATTGAAGAGCCTACTATCCCAAAGCGCATGCTCGCCGCGCGCGCCATCATGGAAGTAACACGAATTGGTTCCATCAAATTGATTCAAGCCATCCTGTACATTTTTGCTTGCATGAGAATGCACCACATCCAACAGTACATATAAGCCATGTTCATGCGCTACATCGATCATGCGCTTCAGCTCCTCAGGCGTGCCAAAGCGACTGGAGGCGGCAAAGAAACTTGTCACTTGATAGCCAAAACTAGCATAGTACGCATGCTCCATGATGGCCATGACCTGTATGGCGTTGTAACCTTGACGCTTGATGCGCGGTATTATGTTCTCGGCGAAATTTAGATATGAACCGACGCGCGGCTCCTGCGAAGCAATGCCCACATGGCACTCATAGATGCGCAATGATTTGGGACGCTTAGGTCGGGGCTGCTTGCAGAAGTAACGCTCTGCTGGCGGTGGATTCCATACATACTGCTTGTAGTTGACGCCTTGATTGGCCTCCTTGGGTGGCTGCCGCACATAAGTGGCCCATGGTGAGAGGCGATCCAACAGCTGGCCGGCCTGGTTGCGTATGATCACCTTTACTTCGCTAAGGTGCTTGATAGGCGCGCTGCCATCGGCATTGGCGGGCAAATGCAATTCCCATTTGCCAAATTCGAGCTTCTTGTAAGGATGCGCCTCCCATTGCCAATCGTCTGCGGGAGAGAAGATGGAAAAGCGGGAAAGAATACAGACAATTCAAAAACAGAACGTGACGGAATGCTACAATCGCAACAACTCACTAAAATCGCCAGTGAGATAAACTTGCTGCGCACCTGGCGCCCATTCGCGCGCAATCACCGAGTTATCGGGCTGAAAGTGTAGGCCATAGTGTTTGTAGCCCTGTGAGAATGTATCCATGCCGCCCTCCAGTTTATCGATTTTAGCGATCCATTCCTTGAGCACACCATGTCTGTGTGACGCAGGCGATAAAATATAATTAAAAATAATAATAAATACCTTTAAGCAAAATATTTATATTCCCATTAAAATATATTTATAAAAAAATAAAATTTAATTTATTTGCAAAAGCTGCTTTTCAATTTTCGTATTGGTTCTTGCCATTTCTTAAATTGTTATTTTTTGCATCTGGTCACCTCGGTT